CTACACACACACACCACCACTACACACACACACGCACACCACCACTACACACACACACGCACACCAACACCACTACACACACGCGCACACCAACACCACTACACACACACGCACACCAAGACCACTACACACACGCGTACCATCACCACTACACACACGCGCACCATCACCACTACACACACACCACCACCACACACACCACCACTACACACACACACACATGCACACCACCATCACTACACACACACCACCATCACTACACACACACCGCACACCACCACTACACACACACACGCACACCACCACTACACACACACGCACACCACCACTACACACACGCACACCAACACCACTACATACATACACACACACCACCACCACTACACACACACACACACGCGCACACCACCACTACACACCCACGCACCGCACAAAGACAAAGGTCCCTCGTATAAGAGACTGTTGGGGCAAGTGCTGTTAGCGAGCACCACGCCCGGCCACATTCTTACAAACATACAACATGCACCACGCACGCACACTCATAGCAAGTACAAACTGGCACAAAGACACATACGCACATACATACGCTGACACACAATGACACACACATGCCAATAGCCTTCACAGACACACTCACACCTGATACACAATCTCACCAACACACAACCCAATGCACAGACAACGCCCTGACACACTGAACAACACATAGAAAACAGTCTGACACAGACACACAGACACATATACACAAAGACACAATTACATAAACAAAAACAACTCAACACATTCGTCAATAAAAGTGGCCTTTAATGTAAAAAATTAACAATAGGCCGGAGAGGTAGACACATACAAAGGTCCCCCGTATAGCCTTTAACAGACTGTTGGGGCAAGTGCTGTTCGCGAGCACCGATGAAGCACAGCACACGTGAGGGGATGGGTGGCCAGCACCACGCCCGGCCGCCTTTGTCTCCCCAATGCTGATGTTTGCACACCACATTAGGTACTCATGTAAGGCTTACACACAAGTAGCGCTGTTAGCGAGCACTCATCAAGGTCGTCACGGTCCACGACAGAGTGGCGTGGCCTGCACCAACTGCAGGAGGACCGAAACGGGTTCAGATATTATCACTCGCCACCGATGCCGGCCGTGGTCAGGAGCCGGACTCGGGTCCGTCCCACATGCAGTACCGTACAACCGTCAGCCTCTCATGCACACAACAAAAACAAAGATCAAAGATCCCCCGTATAGCCTTAACAGACTGTAGGGGCAAATGCTGTTAGCGAGCACCTATGAAGGCCGGAACGGTACACGAGGGAGTGGGTGGCCAGCACCACGCCCGACCGCCTTTGTCTCCCTAGTGGCAATGTTTTACACACCGCACCAGGTACTCATTTGAGGCTGAGTCGACCTAGGGGAGGCCCGGGACCGGTTCGGATTATCGTCACTGGTGTTGGCCGTGAGCGGGAATCGAACCCGAGTCGCCAGGTTCATAGCGCAGCGCGCTAACCGCTACACTACCGCTCCCCACTATGCAACAACATACACCGTCTCACACGCATTGCTAGACATCGACAAATCCAGCCGCAGATAAAGACAACGATACCCCGTAGAGCCTTGATAGGGTGTCGCGGCAAGTGCCGTTAGGAAGCATTTTTGAAGGCTGGCACGGTACACGAGGGGGTGGGTTGCCAGAACCATTTGAGGCTGAGTCGACCTAGAGGAGGCCCACACCGGTTCAGATAATCGTCGAACTCGGGTCGCCGGGTATCGTAGCGCAGTGCGCTAACCGCTACACTACCGCTCCCCACATACGATTATACACAACCATACCGCACATACAGGCACAAATACGTCACCACGGCGCTTGTGCCAGGCTAGGTGCCAGTCCTGCAAAAACAACGCCCTACCTCCTCGTTGGTGCCGAAGGGTAATGCTGTGGTGGATGCAATGCTATGGAGGGAAGTCCAATTCCAAAATCGGCGAAACCTTCATGGCACTTGGAGCCACCACAGCGGCCAAACGGGAGCTCTCGACAAGTGCGAAGGGTTCGTAACCCCTTCCACCTTCAATTAAACTACCACTAAACCACAGAAAGACACACAGTCGCACACACAGCCTGAAACACACACGCACAGCCATACATACACACACCTACAGCCATATATATACAAAGACAGATCCTCCGTATAGCCTGACCAGACTGTAGGGGCAAGTGCTATTAGCGAGCACCTATGAAGGCCAGAACGGCACACGTGCGGGTGGGTGGCCAGCACCACTTTGCCTCCCCAGTGGCGATGTTCACACACCGCACCAGGTACTAATTTGTGGCTGAATCGACCTAGGGGAAGCCCAGGGCCAGTTAAAATGATCGTCACTGGTGTTGGCCGCGAGCGGGAATTGACCCCGGGTCGCCCGGTTCGTAGCGCAACGGGCCAACCACTACACTAACGCTCTCCACACACACACGGCCACATCCACAGACACACACACACGGCCACATCCACACACACACACGGCCACATCCACACACACACACGGCCACAGCCACACACACACACGGCCACATCCACACAAACGCACACGGCCACACAAACGCACACGGCCACATCCACACACGCACACGGCCACATCCACACACGCACACGGCAACACACACACACGGCCACATCCACACACACACACGGCCACATCCACACACACACACGGCCACATCCACACACACACACGGCCACATCCACACACACACACGGCCACATCCACACACACGGCCACATCCACACACACGGCCACATCCACACACACGGCCACATCCACACACACGGCCACATCCACACACACGGCCACATCCACACACACGGCCACATCCACACACACGGCCACATCCACACACACGGCCACATCCACACACACGGCCACATCCACACACACGGCCACATCCACACACACGGCCACATCCACACACACGGCCACATCCACACACACGGCCACATCCACACACACGGCCACATCCACACACACGGCCACATCCACACACACGGCCACATCCACACACACGGCCACATCCACACACACGGCCACATCCACACACACGGCCACATCCACACACACGGCCACATCCACACACACACGGCCACATCCACACACACACGGCCACATCCACACACACACGGCCACATACACACACACACGGCCACATACACACACACACGGCCACATACACACACACACGGCCACATACACACACACACGGCCACATACACACACACACGGCCACATACACACACACACGGCCACATACACACACACACGGCCACATACACACACGGCCACATACACACACACACGGCCACATACACACACACACGGCCACATACACACACACACGGCCACACACACACACACGGCCACACACACACACACGGCCACATCCACACACACGGCCACTTCCACACACACACACACACACGGCCACATCCACACACACACGGCCACACACACACACACGGCCACATCCACACACACACGGCCACATCCACACACACACACGGCCACATCCACACACACACGGCCACATCCACACACACACACACCGCCACATCCACACAGACACGGCCACATCCACATACACAAAGATCCCCCGTATAGCCTTAACAGACTGTAAGGACAAGTGCTGTTAGCGAGCACCTATCAAGGCCGGAACGGCATACGTGGGGGTGGGTGGTCAGCACCACGCCCGACCGCCTTAGTCTCCCCAGTGGCAATGTTTTTATCCACCGCACCAGGTACTCATTTGAGGCTGAGTCGACCTAGGGGAGGCCCAGGACCGGTTCAGATAATCGCCACATACACACACACAGCCATATCCACACACACACACACAGCCATATCCACACACACACACAGCCATATCCACACACACACACAGCCATATCCACACACAAACAGTCGCATCCACACACACACAGCCACATCCACACACACACACAGCCACATCCACACACACACAGCCACAGCCACATACACACACACACATCCACACAACAGCCACATCCACACACACACCCACACACACACACATCCACACACACACGGCCACATCCACACACACACAGCCGCATCCACACACACACAGCCACAGACACACACACACACACAGCCGCATATACACACACACACAGCCGCATCCACATAGCCGCATCCACACACACACAGCCGCATCCACACACACAGCCACATACACACACACATCCACACACACACCCACACACACACCCACACACATCCACGGCCACACACACACGGCCACATCCACACAGACACAGCCACATCCACACACACACACACGGCCACACACACACAGCCACATCCACACACACACAGCCACATACAGACACACAAATCCACATACACACACACACACATCCACACACACACAGCCACATCCACACACACACAGCCACATACAGACACACAAATCCACATACACACACACACACATCCACACACACACAGCCACATCCACACACACACACCCACATCCACACACACACCCACATCCACACACACAGCCACACCCACACACACACAGCCACATACACACACACAGCCACATACACACACACAGCCACATACACACACACATCCACACACACAGCCACATACAGCCACAAAAAAATACGCACTGCCACGATTCGCGTCGTAGCCGTGTGAGTACACCACATTATTGATTACAACCCACATTGTGTGTGTATGCACACACACGCAAGGTATACAGCCACACCAACATCCACACAGACACGGCCACATCCACATACACAAAGATCCCCCGTATAGCCTTAACAGAGTGTAGGATCAAGTGCTGCTAGCGAGCACCTATGAAGGCCGTCACGGCACACGAAGTGGTGGGTGGGGGGGATGTTGACAAACCGCTCCAGGTACGCCCACATACACAGCTACATACACACCACCCCGTACACATAAGCACGTACACACATTTACCCACCTATATAGTCTGAAGGAATTATTCGTGAATGAGAGACAAAGGCGGCCTGGCGTGCTGTTGACCACCCACCCCATCATCGGTTCGCCGTGCCGGCCTTCATAGGTGCTCGCAAACACCACTGTCCGCAACAGTCCGTTAAAGGTTATACGAGGGATATTTGTCTCTGTGTACATCTAGGTGCGTGTGTGTGTGTACGCTTATATGACGGTACAAGTGTAACAGTTACGTTCGTGTTATAGCAGTGTGTGAGTGTGCGCGCTTGCGGCCACGTGTACGTGCCGTGTGTGTGCGTACGCACAGAGCGGTGGGCGTAGTGGTTAGCGCACTGGGATTTTGCTCACGGCCAACGTCAGTGGCAGACTCCTCTCGTCTGAACTCAGCCCCACGTGAGTTCCTGGTACGGTGTGTAAACATTGGCGCTTGGAGAGACAAAGGCGGCCGGGCGTGATCCTCACTCGCCAACACGATTTGTCCCAACACCCCTGTGGCTGGGCTGTACGCGGGATTACGCCTGGCCGCCTTTGTCTCCCCAGTGGTGATGTTAACACACCGCACCAGGTACGGAGTCGTTTACGGCTGAGTCGACCTAGGGCAGACTCTGGACCGGTTCACGTGTACAGGATATATTTACATATACATTGATAAATATTTATATATTTATGTATATACTTATTTATATATTCCCCACGCGTATTGGTCGTGAGCGGGAAATGAGCTCGTTCCTCTGTAGCGCAGTGTGCTAACCACTGCGCCACCGCTCCACACACACACACCGAGTACTGTACACTTTAGCCCTGAGCCAACATTTCATATTTGCACAATCTAACCCAAAAACCTGTTATGGATATTGGTCGCGAAGACCGTCGACGTGTTAAAATGACACGCAGACAAACTCGGCAACGCACATCGCCTGGTATAGAAACAGAGACACAGAGACACGCGAACACACACAGACACAGATCCATACACAGTTAGAGACACAGAGACACACGCAAGGAGACAGAGACATACAATAACACGGAGACACACAGGCACGGGAACACACACACACAGTTGGAGACACGGAGACACACGCAGGGAGACAGAGACACACAGGCACGGGAACACACACACACACAGTTAGAGACACGGAGACACACGCAGGGAGACAGAGACACACAATAACATGGAGACACAGAGACACACAGGCACGGGAACACACACACAGTTAGAGACACACGCAGGGAGACAGAGACACAATAACACGGAGATACAGAGATACACAGGCACGGGAACACACACACAGTTACAGACACGGAGACACACGCAGGGAGACAGAGACACACAATAACACGGAGACACAGAGACACACAGGCACGGGGACACATCAGGGAGACAGAGACACACAATAACATGGAGACAGAGACACACAGGCACGGGAACACACACACACACACAGAGACACACGCAGGGAGACAGAGACACAATAACACGGAGACACACAGGCACGGGGACACACACACAGTTAGAGACACACGCAGGGAGACAGAGACACACAGGCACGGGAACACACAGAGTTAGAGACACGGAGACACACGCAGGGAGACAGAGACACACAATAACATGGAGACGCAGAGACACACAGGCACGGGAACACACACACAGTTAGAGACACACGCAGGGAGACAGAGACACACAATAACACGGAGACAGAGACACACAGGCACGGGAACACACACACAGTTAGAGACACACGCAGGGAGACAGAGACACACAATAACACGGAGACACACAGGCACGGGAACACACACAGTTAGAGACACGGAGACACACGCAGGGAGACAGAGACACACAATAACACGGAGACAGAGATACACAGGCACGGGAACACACACACAGTTAGAGACACGGAGACACACGCAGGGAGACAGAGACACACAGGCACGGGAACACACACACACAGTTAGAGACACGGAGACACACGCAGGGAGACAGAGACATACAGGCACGGGGACACAGTTAGGGACACGGAGACACATCAGGGAGACAGAGACACACAATAACATGGAGACACAGAGACACACAGGCACGGGAACACACACAGAGACACGGAGACACGCGCAGGGAGACAGAGACACACAATAACATGGAGACACAGAGACACACAATAACATGGAGACACAGAGACACACAGGCATGGGAACACACACACACACACAGTTAGAGACACGGAGACACACGCAGGGAGACACACAATAACATGGAGACACAGAGACACACAATAACATGGAGACACAGAGACACACAGGCACGGGAACACACACACACAGTTAGAGACACGGAGACACACGCAGGGAGACACACAATAACATGGAGACACGGAGACACACGCATGGAGACACACAATAACATGGAGACACAGAGACACACAGGCACGGGAACACACACACACAGTTAGAGACACGGAGACACGCAGGGAGACACACAATAACATGGAGACACAGAGACACACAATAACATGGAGACACAGAGACACACAGGCACGGGAACACACACACACAGTTAGAGACACGGAGACACACGCAGGGAGACACACAATAACATGGAGACACGGAGACACACGCATGGAGACACACAATAACATGGAGACACAGAGACACACAGGCACGGGAACACACACAGAGACACGCAGGGAGACACACAATAACATGGAGACACACATCCACATAAAGAACAAGCAAACACGCGCGCACACACACAAACTCATCTGCACCAACACGCATGGTGGCATACACATTGCCAACATTACCAGATACATCCCCGTCTCGCCTTAACAAAGTCTTGGGGCAAGTGCTGTTAGCGAGTAGCACCGATGAAGGCCGGAACGGAACATTCCGGGTTTGTTGGCCGACGTCGCCCCAGGCTGCCTCACACTCTCCTTAGAAGCGGTGTTTTCACATCACACTGCGTACTATTTTTTCGGCTGAGTCGACCTGGGGGAGTCCCATGACCAATTCAGATGTTCGCCGTGAGCGGGAATCCAACTCGGGTGGCCCGGTCCGTAGCGCTAACCACTGCGCCACCGCTCTCCACATACAAAGACAAAGACCTCCCTCGTAGCCTCAACAGACTGTTGGGGCAAGTGCTCCTAGCGAGTAGCGCCTATGAAGCCCTCCACGGCAAACGAAGGGGTGGGTGGCGAAAACCACGCCCGGTTGCCTTAGTCTCCCAAGTGGCGATGTTTAAACATCGCTCCTGATACTCGTTTGAGACTGAGTCGACCTAGAGTAGGCTTGGGACCCGTTCAAGTATTCGTAGCGCTAACCACTGCGCCACCGCTCCGCACGGTGGCACACTGACACAAGCACTGACAGAGCACATAGCGAGACACGATCACACACACACCGATATACAGACACCGATATATACACACACACACTCCGATACACACACACACCGATATACACACACTCCGATACACACACCGATAAAAGATCCCCCGTATAGCCTTAACAGACTGTTGGGGCAAGTTCTGTTAGCGAGCACCTATGAAGGCCAGCACGGCACACGAGGGGGTGGGTGGCCAACACCACGCCCGGCCGCCTTTGTCTCCCTAGCGGCGATGTTTACACATCCCTCCAGGTACTCATTTTGAGGCTGAGTCGACCTAGGGAAGGCCCAGGACCGGTTCAGATAATCGTCACAGGTGTTCGCCGTGAGCGGGAATCGGGTTCGTAGCGCAGCGCGCTAACCGCTACACTATCGCTCCCCACAACGCATATACACACAGACACTGGCACACACACACGCATATACACACAGACACACACACGCATACACACACTGGCAAACACGCACGCATAAACACTCAGACACTGGCACACACGCACGCATAGACGCACAGACACTGGCACACACGCACGCATATACACACAGACACCGGCACGCACGCATATACACATACACTAATACGCACGCATGCATAGACACACAGACACTAACACGCACGTATAGACACACAGACACTGGCACGCACGCATAGACACACAGACACTGGTACACACGCACGCATAGACACACAGACACTGACACGCACGTATAGACACAGACACTGGCACACACGCATAGGCACACAGACACTGACACGCACGCATAGACACACAGACACTGACACGCACGCATTGACACACAGACACTGGTACACACGCACGCATAGACACAGACACTGACACACACGCACGTATAGACACACAGACACTGACACGCACGCATTGACACACAGACACTGACACGCACAAGCACGTATAGACACACAGACACTGGCACACACGCATGCATAGACACAGACACTGACACGCACGCATAGACACTGGCACACACGCACGCATAGACAGACACTGGTACACACGCATATACACACGGACACTGGCACACACGCACGCATATACACACAGACAGTGGCACGCACGCATAGACACACAGACACTGACAGGCACGCATATACACATAGGCACACACACACGCATATACAGACACTGGCACACACGCACGCATAGACGCACAGACACTGGCACACACGCAGGCATATACACACAGACACTGGCACACACGCACGCATAGACACACAGACACTGACACACACGCATATACACACAGGCACACACACATGCATATACACACAGACACTGGCACACACGCACGCATAGACACATAGACACTGGCACACACGCACGCATAGACACACAGACACTGGCACACACGCACGCATAGACACACAGACACTGGCACACACGCACGCATAGACACACGCACTGGCGCACAAACTAAGACACACTGGTATAAAGATTCCACGAATACCTTCTGGTACACACACTGGTACACACATGCTGGCATACGCACACACAGTAACTACCACACTACCAACTACACGCAAACGCACTGACAACCACACTGGCACCCACACACGCACTGGCACCCACACTGGCACCCACACACGCACTGGCAGGCCACACACGGGCGCTGCCACCCACATCGCCACCCACAGGCACCCAGCACAGGCACCACCCCGCACGCACCTCGCCGCTGCTCGCCCCGTGTCGCCCCGCGCTCTGAGCCGAGCGCGATTT